GATGCTCTAGCGAGCTTCGTCCAGAAGACTTTAAACTGAGCTGGGGTGGGGTGGGTTCAGGCCCCCCGGTAATGTGTCTGCACTGGACAAGTGTGGGGAGAGGATCAGGGCTCTGGGAGCAGGGTTTTAGAGATACTGCAGGGACTGACTGGACTCCTACAGAGAGGGGCCAGGTATCAGGGTGGATGGGAGGAAGGAGGAGGCTGGGAACTCCAAGGAAAGGAAGCGGTGGGAAGGAGTTGAGGTGCATGTACACCAATGCTAGGAGCATGGGTAATAAGCAGGAAGAGCTTGAAGCTCTCCTGGGAATAGGAGGGTATGACCTGGTGGGAATCACAGAAACTTGGTGGGATGAAAGGCAAGTCTGGAATGTGAACACAGAAGGGTATCACCTTTTTAGAAAGGACAGGAAGGGAAAGAGAGGTGGGGGCGTGGCTTCATACATCAGGGAAGGGATAGGATGCAGTGAGATAGAATGCAGCACAGATGGGGATTTGGTAGAGGCAGTCTGGGTGAAACTTAGGGGTTTTGACAGGGAAAGAGACCTGACAGTGGGGGTATGTTATCGCCCTCCAGGTCAACTTGAGACCCTGGATGATGTCCTGACAGACCAGATTCTAAGGATATCTCAGGGGAGAGACACAGTAATTATGGGAGATTTCAGTCTCCCGGATATTACTTGGGAGACTCACTCGGCGGTGAAAGCCAGGTCACATCGCTTCCTAGAAGCAATAGAGGGAGGGTTTTTCACACAGAGGGTCCGAGAGGCGACGAGGGGGGGGGGGGGAATATTCCTTGACTTGGTCTTGACCAATAGAGAGGAGCTGATAGATGAAGTACAGATTAGGGGAGCTCTGGATGCGAGTGATCACTCCATCCTTTGCTTTGAGATCAGGGGACTGGGGACGTGCAGCAGGTCAAGTACTAGAAGCTGGGACTTCAAGAGGGCCAACTTTGGCCAATTGAAGGCCAGACTGGGGAAAGTCTCCTGGGATAGGTTACTGGAAGGTAAGCAAGTTGAGGAGGGGTGGATAGCACTCAAACGGGAGGTTTTGGAGGTGCAAGCCTTGACGATACCTCTAGTCAGTAAGGTGGGGAGGCAGAGGAGAGTGCCACCATGGATGCGAAAGGAGGTGGTTAGAGGGATTAGACGAAAGAGGAACCTCCGTAGGAAATGGGTACTGGGGCAAATAGACAAAAGGGTATACCGGAAGGAGGAGGCCTGTTGCAGAAGGATTCTTCGCAAGGCTAAGGCTGATTACGAGCTGAGACTTGCCAAGAATATCAAGAGCAACAAAAAGGGTTTCTTTCAGCATGTAAATAGGAAGAGGAAGGGGAGACAAGTGGTGGGACCACTAAATAAGGAGGAAGGAGATCCAGTGACTGATATGAGGAAACAGGCACAGATGCTAAATGACTATTTTGCCTCTGTGTTCTCCCCAAAGCAGGATGGGGGATATCCGCATAGGAGATTAGATGAGGCTCGGGACTTAGGGGTACAGATTAGAGTCATCCCCCTTGAAGTCGAGGGGCTCCTCAGGGCATTGGACATTACAAAGGCGCCAGGCCCTGATGGGTTACCCCCGAGAGTACTTAGAGAGTTGGCAGAGGTTCTCTCACGCCCGCTGGCCTACATTTTTGAGACCTCGTGGAGAACGGGTGAAGTTCCAGAGGACTGGAGGGTGGCATCAGTTGTCCCAATTTTCAAAAAGGGTAGTAGAAAGGACATGGGGAATTATAGACCGGTTAGCCTTATGTCCATTGTAGGAAAAACAATGGAAAGCCTCATAATAGAGAGAGCTCTAGTGATGCTAGATAGGGAAGGGAGGCTGACAGCCACAAAAAACGGCTTCCGCAAAAACAGGTCCTGCCAGACAAACCTTCTGGAATTCTATGACATTGTTTCAAGATGGCTAGATGGAGGGGATGCAGTGGATGTGATATACTTGGATTTCAGCAAGGCCTTTGACAAAGTGCCCCATGATATCCTGGTGGAGAAACTGAGGAGTTTTGGGATACACCAAAGCACTGTCCGGTGGATTAGGGCATGGTTGATTGACCGAAAGCAGAAGCTAACCATTAGCGGGGAATCATCGGGATGGCGGCCAGTGACAAGCGGGGTCCCCCAGGGCTCTCTCCTGGGTCCAATCCTGTTTAATCTTTTCATCAAGGACATGGAAGACAGGGTGAACAGTCTGCTGATCAAATTTGCAGACAATACTAAAACCAGGGCAGTGGCCGCAACTGAGGAACAGGTACTCCAGATCCAAAGGGATCTGGACAGACTATGGAAGTGGGCAGGAGACAACAGGATGGCGTTCAATGTGGATAAGTGCAAGGTCTTGCACTTGGGGCATAGGAATAGCTGTCATAAGTACAGGTTAGGTGACAAGTGGCTGGAGAGCAGCACTTGTGAAAGGGACCTCGGGATACTGGTTGACTGCAGGCTAAACATGAGTCAGCAGTGTGATGCGGTGGTCAAGAGGGCGAACACCACCCTTGGTTGCATAGCCAGAAGTGTGGCTTCTAGATCAAGAGAGGTATTACTACCACTCTACACGACTCTGGTGCGCCCACAACTGGAGTATTGTGTTCAATTTTGGGCCCCTCATTACAGAAAGGATATAGCCAGGTTGGAGTCAGTGCAGCGTAGGGCCACAAGGTTGGTGGCCGGTTTGCAGGGGATGGGATATGAGGCGAGGCTGATGGAACTGGGTCTCCAGCCTGGAGAAGAGGAGACTCAGAGGGGATCTGTTGGTGACATACAGGTATGTGAGGGGATGTCACATGGAGAGGGGTAGAGGCCTGTTCTCCCCTGCAGAGGAAGGCAGAACACGCTGTAATGGAGCAAAGCTCAAGGAGCCAAGGTTCCATTTGGATTCCAGGAAGCACTTCCTGACAGTCAGGACTCCGAGGGTGTGGAATGGGCTTCCACGGGAGGTGGTTGAGGCCCCATCAGTGCGGGTGTTCAAGGAGCTGGCTGGTGCCAGAGGTCAGACTAGATGGCCCGGGAGGCCCCTTCGCTCTGTTTCTATGTTTCTAATTTCCTCTTCAATCTTCCTTTTTAATTCAGCAGGATGTATGTGGTACACTCAGCTTTTAAGGTGTCCCCATGGGAAAAAAATCACAGACAGTGGGATCTTGGGAGCTTGGAGGCCATGGAATGTCACCATTGTGTTGAAATGAAACTTACTTTAGCCAGCAATTGTTCACAAAACTGGTGATGCAACATGTGGTCATTGTTTTTGAGTTCCTGAACAATCTGCAATTTGTAGGAATGCAACTTCAACTTGTGCATTATTCTTTGCACACTTTGTTGCCCTAAATATAGTGATGATGAGTGTTGCCAAACAGAGCAGCAAAGACTCCTCACAATGGTAGCTTGAACGGCCTCAATATTCTCTGGTGTGCAGGCCATTTGAACACCACCTTGGGATTCTTTTTAAGGCTGAAACTGTTTCTTTGAAATCACGCACCCATGTTGTAATTGCATAAGCAGACAGGACATGATCATGACATCCTAACTGGTAATGACTCTAAAATTCCCTTTGCACAGCAGTCACACTATCACCATTCTTATAAAAGGCTTTTAGAGTGAACGCTTGTTGTGCTCCCTCCAGTGCTCTGTTATAACTAATGGCAAGAGGTTCTAAACGAGGTCACACTGGTTCAAAATAATTTCCAAAGTCCCAGGGTCACCAACTCCTAGTTCCAAAATTTCCCATTTCCCTGAGCCACCCTGCACCTGTAGTTTCAGGAGCATCGCTGTTGGTCCGACCCACTCCACCTTTCCTTTTAAAATTAATATCCTTCTTTGCATGCTTCAAGGAATTTACTGATGAATCCATGTTCTGGGTGTGGGTGTGTTAGGGCTATTCCATGCAAGAAACATTTGAAAGCAGTGCCCTCTCTCGCCTTTGCTAGTACCAAAAAGATGAAATGACACCATATGTTCTATCAACCTGCTTTGGAGGGTAGGTGGTATGGAAATTCATACTTCTCCTTGACCCAAGCCATGATGTTTTATATGCAACTCATTGACTGCCGACCTCTATGTTGATGTGAAGTTAATGGAGCTACACAAGAGTAGTACTTTAGTACATTTAGTAGGACGTTTGCACTGCATATAAAATGGTTTTCACCTTTTAAAGCAAGAAATAAGTTTATTTTCAATAAATGTGCAGAACAACTGAATTTATACTTCATGTGGGATAATTGTTCATAGTCTAGAGTTATTTTGATCAACAAATTTAAGAAAGAAATCACTTAATATTGTTTATTTAAATGGAAGGTCCCTTAGCCTCTAATACATGGAGATGCCTTTTCACATAGAGTGAACTGTATTTCATACTTCATATGAATACTTTTAAAATTTTAAGTTATATTTTATACTTCTAAAAACATACTTGTTGCTCCTATTTATATTTACATCTTAAATAAAAATAAAGATCGTGTTTAAAACTCTTATCTTTACCAGTCCGCTTACTAGGAAACAAGTCCTGAACATAGTGGCAAGCTTCATTCACTCTATGTCCTTTATAATGTATTTAAATTATTATAAGTTTAACATTGCAAGACTTCATTGTACAAAATTAATATATTGCACTGATTCTGATTGGCATTTCCTTTTCTTATACCTTTTAGGCTGTTGATATACTTTTGCAACATGGTGCTTATGTTAATGTCCAAGATGCAGTTTTTTTCACACCTTTACATATTGCAGCATACTATGGCCATGAACAGGTATGGCAAAGTAATACTTTGTGATCTCAAATGTACAAAATATAGCACTTCCTGTTCACATACAAGAGAGGCACAAGTGCCTTGGGTTTTGTCCACATGTTCATAAAATCAGAAAAATCAGCAAACTGGTTCCCACATATATGGGTACACTATGGTGACTTTCATGTGTGGATATGACTGTTGGAACTTTCAGATCACCTGATGTCAGTTCAGACACCATATGTTTCTCAGGGAGACAGTTGTGCATTCAGCTGTAAGGGTTCACTTGAGCAACACACATACTAAAATTGGAATGATACAGTAAAGTTTAGCATGGCCTCTGTGCAAGGTTGACACAAAAATTTGTGAAATGTTCCAGATTTTTCTATGCATTTCTTTGTTTTTTACTTTCTTGTAAACTACCCAGAGAGCTTTGGCTATGAGTAGTATAGAAATAAATAAGTAATCAAGTATTGCATAATCAAGCAGTGGAAAAGATCAAATGATATATATGAATCTGTGAACTCGCTCAGTGATATCATTTATAAGCTAAGTAAAATCAGTGCATGAATCTCACTCAGCTCACCAAGGCTGTTTAAATAGCATCTATTGAAAAATAAAATGAAGTCTTTTTCTGGCATTTAACCTGTGATGGCTGCTTCACCTGTCATCACTAGATGATGAACATGCATGTATGAGCTTGCCTTCAGTATGCCATTATAACTTTTTTTTAAAAGAGGAGGAAGAATTTCCACTGAGCTCATTATGAGCTGATACCTTATTTTCAATTTACCCAGCTTCAACACTTATTGGATGGCTCACATACTAGCCCTGCTTAGATTAGCTGCCCTTGCTTTGAAAAGGATTTATCTAAAATTAAAGAGAGCCATTATGTTTGAAAATGACTTCAAATCTCAACTAGTCTGAAGATATTAGCACTTTTGACTAGAAGTGCACATATAGTGAAATATTCTTGGTGCTTCAAGACTTTATCAAATTAATATCCTACTCCAAATACCTGTTCTGCAAGATCTGCCAGGAGTGATCCAAAACTCCTGGCAATGATTCATGAGATGCTGAAGCCCAGCTCTTGCTATGACCCTGGAGCTTTAATGAAAATGCAAGCATTCTTGACATGTCTGGACATTGGCATCCCTAAAATTCTGCCACAATATGCAGGCTGCTTTGCCCCAACTCCACAGGCTAAGGCAAGATGGCCTTAATGTGTCTATGCAGATGGTCCTCACTCAGTAGGGCCAGTTTTCTTCTGCTGCTTCTACTATTCACTTTTTCCTTGAGAGTCCAACTCTCAATACCAATCAAGGCTCATAGGACAAGGCTAGTGAATATGAATAGCTCCTCCTTGTTCTCACTGCCATGGCTGGTTCACTGCCTTTCTCTCTGAGCACCAGAAGCAGAATAATGTCTAGATGTCCAAGGATGTTACATTGAAGTGGATACCTCTTTCCAGAAGTGATTTGGAGACTGTCCAGTGATACAGAAGCTGAAAATAATATAATCATAAATTCAATTACAGTTTCATTTTGCAGAATGATTTCTTTCCAGAATGGTACTTTTTGAAAGAGAAAATGACTGAGAGGTGCCTGCAATTACATCAGAAAGACATTTCTATTTAGGTTGAAAGCATGGTTTTCTTTAATCTGGTATAAATGCTTTTGAACGAATAGTCACAATTTTGTAATATTATGTTAAAATGAATATGGTACTTTTGTGATAAGGGGTTTGGCTTTCTGAAAAGGAACTATTGCTTGGACACATGTAATTTATGAGTATCACACTATTTTGCTACTTAGGTCAGTTAGGCTTCAGTCTGCTCCTAGCTTCTTACTATCTGTGCTATTTCTTAAAAGGAATTAGTAACTGGTAGTGTGCTAAAAAAAACATTATGTCAACATCAAGAATCAGAAATGTTAATTCTCACGATAGTGTGTAAATATAGAACATTCCTCTTGCTTAAGAAAAAATCCATATGCTGAGATGTACAATTTTTATAATGTTCTGTGATTTCATAGAAAATGTTGATATTACACACATACATACATACATACATATGGGTTATATCCACATATTTTTAGGTGACCCGACTTTTGCTGAAATTCGGTGCTGATGTGAATGTGAGTGGAGAAGTTGGAGACAGACCCCTCCATTTGGCCTCAGCCAAAGGATTTCTCAATATTACAAAGCTTTTGCTGGAGGAGGGTAGCAAGGCAGATGGTAAGTTATTAGATAATGGCCTTCCTACAAGCTGCTGCAATTTGTAAGGGGTTCAAATAGACAAAGTCACTTTTTGCCCACCCTGTTTCCTGTTTTGTTTTTTCTTTTCTTTTGGAATGGATACTCACCTGTGTTCCCTAGAGGCCAATTAGCATGCTCATACCCCAATGGAAAGTGTGTGGTGGGTGCTGGAATTACCTCCTTGTGTTTTGCAAATGTTTTCCACTTCTACCCATCTTAATAGATAGCTAAGGATGGGTAGCTTCTGTTGGTCTTCAAGAGAATTCACTGTTAATATACATGATAGACTACAACTTAAGCAACAAACATACACACACACACACAAACACACAAAGCATCTGCCCAGAGTAGTTTAAAATCTAAATTTCAGCAATGGGTAAGAAAACATGAGAAAGTGAGGGAAACAAGAGACAGTGATAACAGGGGTGGAATGTCCAGGGAACTTAACATGCCGTCCAACTGGAGTGCCTGTAATCCTCCAGACTTTGAGAAAATGTGTACCCTATATAGAAAGAGAGGAGCAAGGAAGTGATCTTCACCTCCCTGGTTCTGCCATGCTATATTTTTGCTAGATGGCCATTTTTGGTCTTCTGAGACACTTTGGAATGGGAGGGAAGGAGGCTTGAGCACTGTCATATGCCTTATCATGACCTTCCCCATCTCTTTCTTACTCTGTCTGCCTCTTCATTTCCTTCATTCCCTTTTATGGCTTCAAAATGGAAATCACCGGAGCCCCCAACCATTGAAGAATGGAGAAATAGATTAGCAGAATATGCAGTGATGGCAAAGCTAACTAACTATGTAAACAGAATTGTAAACAGAATTTAATGACAAATAGAAATTTTATTGTGCTTAGCATGATTAATGGAAGCCCAGGAAAGTTTGAAAGAGAAAAAGGAAAGCATTAGAATTTGAACTGGTTAGAAAATTTGTTTATGTATAGAATAATGATTCTTTTTTCTTTTTTGCAAACTTTCATAGAGCGTGGGAAGATATGAAGAGAGTTGGTTCTGGGGGCTGCAATATATGGGCTGTATTGTTTGTAATTCCCTTGGCAACTTTATTTTGTCCACTTCACTCTGTTTTACCCTGTACACTAAACTCTGTTAGTTTTCTCTTTGTTCTGTATTTTTTTATGTAATTGTATATGCTGGAAAATTAAAAATTATTATTATTTTAAAAGGGATGTGCTCAACCATGGATCCACCACCTCACACTCTATGCCAGGGGAAAAGATGAACAAATACTCTTTAAATTTGAAAGACTTTACAATAGTGGAAGTTGCTCATATATGAATTCTCCTTTCTGCACAAATATTAAAGGCATGGAAGCTGCACTTCATTTCAGAATCTGGCATGTCTTAATAGCATGTTCTCTGTGCACTTCAGTTTATGTCTGTCTCAAAAAGGTCTACAGTAATAAAAGACCCACTTAAAATGACCAAAAACATGACAGACAGTGTAACCTGTGCATTGTATGAAAGTTCTTACAATGTTCAGCCTCAGGATCTAGGAGGGAGCACCAAACATACCTCAACTATCCTAACTTAATGCATGCCATGTCGCTTCTGGAAAGTATTCTGGTGGATCTCTCTCACCAATGTAGCATATGTTGAAGGTTGATGAGCATTGCAGCTAAAACATCTGGAGACATATCTGACTGGACCAGCTCTTTTATAAACTAGAATCCCATACCTGAAAGTTCTTGTAGGTGGAAGTGTATCTTGAATCATGTGCTGAATACTATAGGCAACCATGGAAAATACCACAGGGGCTCTGGTTTAATTGTACTTCTGCATACCAGAATGTATACACTCTTTTCCAACAACCCAAGAAGTGACTCTACACATGGACATCACCAGATGGTCAATGCTGAAATCAAGATTGATTAGGTGCTCTGCAGCCAAAGATGGACATGCTCTATCTAGTCAGTAAAAACAAGACCTGGAGTTGACTGTGGCTCAGATCATGAGCTTTTCATTGCAAAATTCAGGCTTAAATATGTGAGGAAAACCACTAGGCCACTGAGGTGTGACCTAAATCATATTCCTTATGAATATACAGTGGAGGTGAGAAATAGATTTAAGGGATTAGGTCTGATAGACAGAGTGCCTGAAGAACTATGGATGGAGGTTCACAACATTGTACAAGAGCTTGCCTTAGAAAGTATTAGCAGCAACAAAGCTAATGGAGGCGATGGTATTCCAGCTGAGCTATTCAAAATCCTAAAAGATTATGCAGTTAAAGTACTATGCTCAATAAACCAGCAAACTTGGAAAACTCAGCACTGGCCACAGGATTGGGAAAGGTCCAATCCCAAAAAAGGGCAATTCCAAAGAATGTTCAAACTACTGTACAATTGCGCTTATTTCACATACTAGCAAGGTTATGCTCAAAATCCTACATGCTAGACTCCAGCAGTATGTGGACCAAGAACTACCAGAAGTGCAAGCAGGGTTTTCAAGAGGCAGAGGAACTAGGGATCAAATTGCCACCATATGCTGGATCATGGAGAAAGCTAGAGAGTTCCAGAAAAAAAATCTACTTTTGTTTCATTGACTATGCTGAAGTCTTTGATTGTGTGGACCACAACAAATTGTGGCAAGTTCTTAAAGAGATAGAAGTACTAGACCAGCCCTGTCCTGGATGGGGGTTGCACTCCCCTGAAGGATAGGATTTGCAGTTTTGGAGTCTCCTCTACCCAGAGCTGTCCCTGGAGTCCCAGGTGGCAGTGGTGGCAAGGAGTGCTTTCCTTCAGCTTCAGCTGATCCACTAACTGCGTCCTTTCCTGGATGAGTATTGCCTGGCAACAGTGACCTTCTTTCTGGTAAATTCCTGGTTGGATTACTGTAACTTGCTCTATGTGGGGCTGCCCTTGAAGACAGTCCAGATACTTCAATTGGTTGAGAATAGAGCTGTCAGGATGTTAACAGGGACAAGTCAGTTTTCACATATAATGCCAGTCCTCTACTGATTACACTGCTACCAATTAAGGTCCGGGCCCAATTTAAGGTGATGGTTATGACCTGTAAAGCCCTAAATGGCTTGGGTCTGGGATACCTGAAGGAGCACCTTCTTCCCTATGTGCTCTCCCACCCCATGAGATCTGAGGTGCAGGCCCTGCTCTGGG